AAAATTCCCCACATCACGCTACAGTTATCCATATATCGACTTTTCAAAATGGGTTGTTATATGGAAAGTCGTCGAAGAAGGAGTCCGATCCGAACCATTTTTAATAGCGCTTGTCTTTAGATTAGAACAGGTCGGTGTACAAAATTTCAACAAATTATTTTGAAAATTACGGCCTATAGGTTGAACCAAAGAACAGAAAACAGACTAACGTAGAGGCAAGCTTTTCAGAATCATTTTCTGAATCGATTGGTGTATTAACAGATGGGTTAACCTCAAGCCCTTGTGAGTGCTGCATATATCCGCACAAGTTTAATATACCCTAGTACCGCAAGGGGTGCACGCCATAAACGCTATTTACGAAATATTACGTTATATATGTTATAACGTCTGTAGAACTTAAAGTTTAATCCCAGGAATCAAATATATGATGAATGCGTGTTACTTTAATTTAACTCTCTGTGGTAGATTTTCCCGAAATTTTATACAAGTTGACCAGCACATGCCTTTTCTTTCATATGCAAGCGTTATCACTACTAAAAAAATGTTTCATTGACAAAAATAATAAATAAAACCGCTAGCAACAGACTTTGATAGTCAGTTTAATACTTTGGTCTGATAGTTGACATCACTTTTAAACGAAAGGGGTGTGCCTGCCTACAGGCTGCCATATAGCCATATACCTGCGAAGGTTTTTCTAAAAATCATCGTTTGCTTGCTTAGAAATCTAGACGTGTTTCGCATTTTTCTTCATGCAGACTCGAAACTTTTTATTTATTACTTTCAACAGAAATGAATTGATAAATTTATTCGGACTTGAACCTCTCATTATTTTGAAAGTCCATCCGTTACGAGATAACTAAAATTATTAAATTAAGTAATTAATTATTTCATTAAATTTAGAAAATATAACTAAGAACCAAGAGACATATTTTTTGTATTTTCTGGCCTTTTAGTGTAAAAGTATTATACAACAGTGTCTATAGTATTAGATGAGAGAAATAAATATTTTTCTCACAGACTTACCTCACTCTCAATATTAATGAATTATGGTACTCGTCGATTAAAGGGATAAATTTATATCGATCCATTTAAGTATATAAAAATTTTTGGTTACGTGATGAAAATGCTATAGTAATACTTGTGGACACGCAAGAAATTGTTATTCCATATGGTCATCTCTCCAAAATCGCGCCCGTTGGGAGAAACGAACAAAAATATGTGATCAATGATATTTATTTCATTGTCGTTGCATTCAACAATATTTATCGACTTTAAGTTCCTATTTTGGAAAGTTCACACACCAGTGTAAGCTATACTGGGCTTTTGAATGCGCTACAGTTTTGTTACACACGCTCACATGTTAACCTAGCAATTATAGAATTTGTGAAAGCTTTAACTTAACACATTCTATTTTTCCATGCATGGACACAGCTTCAAAACACTTTCAAAATAAACATCTCTATCATTCCTTCGTAAAATTAAGTAAACTTTATATCTTTAATTGTTAAATAGTTTCTCTTCTTCAGTCTTTCTCAAATGTTACTCTTCAGACGAAACCTTTCCCTTTGACCTTTTCAACCTACATAGTAATTGACCTTTTTTCTGCTTATCACCGTCATTGTTTGCGTATTCCTGTTTTTTTTTTTTTTTGCTAAGTAATCATCGTCCCACTCACTCGAAAACACCCACTATATAAGTATTCATTACTGTATCATTTAAATTTATGACGCAAACTCTTTTCTCGTGTTACCACTCAGCCACTTTACGTAGTCATGAATATATAATCGATATATGGATGCTGCTATGCGCTATCGTAAAGTTAATGATATACCGAAATAATTGCGTAATTATGATTTAATTATCTTCAACTCATCTGCCTGTCATTATTAATGCGTTTAGGTGGTTAGAAGAAGGAAACACATTTCTTGGAATTTTCTCTATAAAAAAACCAGCGGAAAAGTGTTAGTTACAAATGCTTTTAAGGACGCTTTGTTTGAGCAAGTTATCACTACATTTTTTTTTAACAACTTTTTATATACATACAATCGCCGAGAATTTTGAATAGATTGCTTTTTTTATATCCATCACCGAAGCATGGGAGATATAATCATTTTGTCGAAACCTGTGCACCGTTCAGAAGGAGGCTTCAGAGACCCCATAAGGTATCTCTATTCTTCATCAGTATCAAATTCTGAATCGATTGAAGGATGGCCGTCTCTCCGCCTGCGTAATCCCTGCTGTAGCCATTCTTTTGGCGGGCAAAGTGAAGCTATCGACTTCACATTTGGCACAAACCATTGGAAGCTCTTGCACGCAGGTGTATATTGAAAATTCGCCAAATCAGTCGAAGAAGACGCCTGCAGTACCGCGTAAACTGAGAACACCTCTGTTTTTCAAAAACAAAAAAAAATTAGTATTTTTCCTATAGGCGATGCTGTAGCACCTGTACAAAAATGGCCGCGGCTACCCATAATTTCATTGTTTTTCAATGCGGGTTATAAACCCGCAGAAGCTAGCTCCAGAAACCTCCTAACATATATAAATTCTTAGCCAATGTCAATTCGAAAACGGCAGCTATGCATGTTCATCGGTTCATCTGTCCGTCCGCGTCCATGTGTAAAACATTCTACCGTTCGAAAAAATGAAGACATTGCCTATAAGCCTGCAAAAGAATTTGAAATTGAACCGAACTTTTCGAAGAACACGTCCCCAACGCCCACAAATCAGTGAACTCTTTTGTTGTCCGTCTCTCTTGCTCGTTGCTCATAAAACTGCAAAACATGCACGATATATGTTCTCACAAAATGATTCCACACAAATGGGATAACGGAAATGGATTTGAAAAATTCGATCTCAACCGACTATAATTTTCTCACTTATTGTAACGTTCCAGCAGTGAAGAATACAACGATTACTAATTCGAGACAGAATTACCTATCTACCGTTCTAGAAGACATCATTAAAAAAAAAATATGTTGAACTCGTCTTTTTTTCCTCTCTCTGTATATGATTAGAACAGAATTTCTTAAAAGTCATTAGTATTTTAGTTCGTAATGCGGTAACAACTTTCCATAAAGTATTATTTATATATTTCTTTTATTTTGATATATCAATATGAATATAATTTTCACCTGTGTGTGCCCGGTTTGATGACTGCAAGGCATGAGAAATATTTGGCAGCCAGCATGCGTTGTCGTAAAAAAGAAAAATCATGTCTGCTTGCGTGTGGTATGCGTGTGGTTTTGTGGACAACCTTCAAGTCATTTTGACTGATTTTTGAATATGACATGAAATTGGCATTGCTAAAATATTAAGGATGCAGCAACGTTAGAGAAATTGAAATCTTAATGTGTGTAAGCAATTCCATTATTTTTAAACGCCCAAAGCTTTTACATACACTCTCATAAGTTGTAGTTTAGTGAATTAAAGTGTGATTACATTATATATATATATATATCTTTTCTAGTAAAGTATTTTATGGTTTTTAATCTATTAAAATTCGCATCACACTCCCAAAATTTTCCTATTTAATCTCCATATCGACAGGGTTGTTAAGAAGTTGCTTTCTACTCTTCGAGTCTTTTGATTTGATCTCTATTGTTGCTTTCTCTGCTACCCAAGTCCTTTATTTTGACCGCTGTTGTTGCTTTCTAACCACCAAGTCTTTTGATTTGCCCTCTGTATCGAAGAAATTGCAATTTTGTAGGGGCCGTGTAGGGGGTATTTTTTGAATATGTGGGAAATTTGAATGTTCCGCCCACACTGCACTATAATTGCAAACAGAAAGAAACAGACTGACCTATTTTTGAAATCACACTGTTCACCAGTAAGAACAAATGCAGTTTTTCACATGAATTTTTTATTCTAACATGACTACCAAATTAACAAGCAATAAAAAACCAATTGGGGGAATACCGTCGTAATCAAAAGTCGGTTGCTTTATGTCCACGCATGCATTAGCGACTCGGTCTACTACGCGAAAAAAATGAATTTTATGATCAATTTTGTATTCATCTCGTTTTGTGCTTCAAGTTGAAATCAGCATTTCGTTGTTGCATTTGTTAGTAATTAGCGATGAATAATACATAATAAAAACAGATTACTTTGGCTCGTTTGCCACCTGGTATGTTGTATTTAAAGGAACCTCTGACAAATTCCTTAATGAAAGTTTTTTAATTCGCGTCGTAAACATTACATTATTACGTTTTAGTTAATACCCGGATCTAAGAACTACTTTCTTTATGTAAATTCCCTTTTAGCCTTTTAGTTTGTAACAAGTACGGTACATTGATAAGATTAATAATAACCTCGTTGCAGAGTGATAGACATAAAAATAGTCTTTTGTACAAGATAATGAAAATATTATTAAAAGGTTTTCTTAAATGCATTTCGTATTTGGCATTTATAATTTATATAATTGCATCATGCAATTCCACGATATCTCTGAAGGACATTTCAAGCATACAACGTAATTTTAGCCCATTAATATAAAAAGATGACATTGAAGTTTTTTCTTCGTTGCAAATGTCTTTAGTCAAAAGTTATGGTAAATTTTTATATGAATTAAAAGGAGAAATAAAGAAAAAGTTTTCATTTCAAGTTAAAAGAAAATACAAACATTGTCAAGTTTAAGGCGCTTAGTTAAAAGCAAAAAACCTTGCCTACATTTCTTATCTACGCAAAATTTTAACAATTTTTCAAATTAATTTCTTTTCTATCTGCATTTTAGCTTTGTATTTGTTGTTGTTGTTATCTTAAAGTTTGCTTCAAGTTTGAAATACTGCGCTTAAATAGATTGATTGTAGACATGTTTACGTCAAATATTGCTCAGACAACTTGAACGAGTACACATTGGTTTAACATGTGATTGCGGTTTGTTTACTAAAAGCTAATACCACTCGTATGTTATTGACATGTTTTTACTTTCTTCTTTTTTTTTGTTTTATCTTTTTTTTTTTTTTTTTAATCTAAAATTTAATCAACTCACACATATGCGCCTGTTATGCTCCTATTGGGTTGGTTTTTATATTAGAAAACGGGGGGATAAGAGCCTCTTAGAACTGAGTATCGAAGGAAACAAATCGATATTTCAGAGCGAATTTGTATGAGAAGTTCTTTGCTAAACAGTCGAGCTCTTAAGCGCTTGGGATGGTCTCTTTCGTTCTCTTAAAAGAGCATCAAATATATTTTAGAATGCAAGTTTTTTACTCTTACTGAGTTCCTAACAATAACTTTGACTTTTATTTTTATCTTTCATTTTTTATTTCCTTTTTAAATTGCTATCCATTCAACAATATTTACTTTCGCTTCACTTGTTAGTTTTACTAAACTTGAAGACCTTTTAAAAGTTTTGTTAAACATTAAATTTTTTTCAATAGCTCTTTAGAAATATTGTTTGTTAAAGTAACTAATTTTAAGAGAAAATGCTTAAAAAATTAATTTTTTGTATAAACTTTTAAACTATAGTTAACATAGCATACTTTTAAGGGTTAGAAAATTATTATAAATTGTTACATATATTGGGGAAGGTCGGAATTTTTCAGAATCTCTTTGTAAATTAAAAAAATGTTCCCTATTTTCTCTATCATTTTATTATATTACAACAAAAAATACATATTCTTAATATAACAAATAATATTACTTGACTTAACTTAACTTCTCGAATCAAAAGATAATTTTTTTCCTATTTTTATTTGCTTGTTTTCCATAAACCAGTCATTCTTCTAATATAAGCTTAACGTTCGCTTTGCCCTTCCATAAACATCCGTAGCTTATAATCAAATCTTCTAGTAAAAGCGAATAAAAACAAGTAAAAAAAACTTTATTGGAACACTGTCCACCGTAGAACATTTTCCTTACTATACTTGTTAATATAACGGCAATAAGAAGTGTTCGAAAAAGTGGTTCTATCGGAACCATTTTCAATGGCCTTGGTTCTTGTGCCAAAAAAACGTTGTCTGTCCATTGAACACAACAATACAAGGCGGACAGACGAACAGACAAGCTTGCATCGATGCAGAAAGTGATTCGAAATCGGGGGGCATGATAAAAGTTGGATTTATCTGGGCGTTGTATACATCCGCATAAACTTAATATACGCACTAGTGGTGTAGAATACCAAAAAATTTATATTACAATAGACTAAGTCATATAAACCAAAGTCAGCTGTGTCTCACCCTAACGTCCACAAAGGAAGACCTTTTCCAACCACAATTTCACTAGAAGAAGAGTAACTTTTCGAAATTTTAAAGTGAATTGTGTTAGTAACAATTTATACTATTATTTATAGACTACGTTTCGAATTATACCGTTTTACGCTCTAAATATACTTCTTTTTAATTGTCTTCAACTCAAAATAATGGCGATTAAAATATGATAATGTGTGAGCACTTATGTTGTTAATGTGACGACTTTGTTTGCTTCGCATTGTTGAATAAGATAAACTCACGTACTATGCTATACAGTTACCATTAATTAAAAACAAAATATAGCATACTCTTCTCTACTTTTGTTTACTCAACCATCGTCTATATACTTTCGCAGACTCTTTTCAATGGTATTCAATTCACAGGAACTGCGTAGAACAATTATTTTTCTATTTGCATTTGAGAATCATCCAGAAAAATTTTACAAATTATCGACAATGTGAAACGAGAATACATGTAATCATCCTATAAAGCGGTAAATATGTTATTATAATACCCCATCTTGTGTGAACCCGCGTTGTATATGAGGGTAGAAGCCATTACAAAAAGAACGAGAAATAATGTTCCAAAAGCTATGAACACGATATTCTTTTCACACATTTCCAACATCTCGATTAGAGAATAAAGAAATAAGAAACCTTTATGCGGCTCTGACCCATCAACGCTAGTCCAAAAAAAAAAAAACTGAACGAAAAGAAAAAGAGTATGAGAGTGGAAATTTTTATCGTTTGCCTTGGGTAACGACATGGAAAGCGAATGCCTTCTCAGTTGTTGTAGCAGTGTAGATGTGCCTTTTGATCCGTTTGGACCATTTTCTAATTCTTTTTCAAAAATATAAGCAGTACCTTGATTTATGCGAGTGGAAGACTATTTTTCACAGACACTGCAAAGTGTAACGGCCAGACAGGGTTCGTGGAGCTTTCTTCTGCGAATTATAAAGATTTTGATAAAATGAGAATTCGACGTATTATAATCTCGGATAGGCGTGGCGAGGACTATAACATCGCCCTTAGTTTATAAAGCTTAATGGGTTCATTGCTCAAAGTTTTATGAGTTTATTTGCTTTCGTTTTTCTCAGTTGTGTTGTACGGAGGTCCTTCACGCTGTTTCGGCTATTTTCAATTCCAGCCTGTCAAATTTGAAACCGAGAGCTAGACGGACAGACTGACATTCTTAAATCAATTCAAAGTGTGATGTTGACCAAAAAATGTATAAATTGTATGGGGTCTCTGATGCTTCCCTGTAAGGGCTTGAAAACGAATATACTCCTCATTCTCATCCTTCGGTGATGTCCAGAGAAAAAGCTATTGCTACTTAGTATTCACGAAGCAAACCCTTGCAACATAAAATACAAATGAAGTCAATTTTAGTGGGAAAAAACACATGTGTACATACATACATAGTTGCGATTTTTCATATAAAAAATTCCTCGTATTACTCCAGTTAATATATACATATGTACCCATCGTAAAATTCCGCGGGTGTTCTCACATATTGTTTGCTCCTTTTCGTGTTCGAATCAAAGCATTTTGCTAAATAGCGCGTTATAGGATGGTTACCCGTGCTCTAACAATTCCCATTATCCATGGAAGAAGAGAAAAAAAAAAACTTTTCGAGTTAAATAAATTAACTTTTTAATATTGCATGCTAAAGATGGACCGCACCAACAACTGGCTGTTGTAGTATATATTATCAATGATAATAACAATTATAATAAATTTTGTTGAAATTTTGTTTTGACAGTCTTTGTCGTCTGAATGTTCTCGCTTACCTTTTTTCCTGCCCACTCTTGTCCAACTTGGTTTTTTTCTCAACGAAACGAAATACATTTCAAAAATTTATACACACGATGTACAAAGAACCGCAGCAGCAATTGCTATATTAGTGGAAAGATAACGAGAAGCCACAAAGCTTTTAAATCGTGTATGGATTCTCTCAGTTTGTAAATGCGAGCACAAACGTGCATGTTCTGACGTCGTATTGTTTTTGTTGTTGTTTTGTTAGTGTTTACTTCATTGAAATTTCACAATGTTAACCTTATGGTTTTTGTTTTTGCTTTATTTTTATTTTATATTTTATTTCATGATTTTATGTAAAACCAAATCAAATATCACAACAACAGTACGCCGGTATTGTTGTGTCCTTGAACTTGAATCTTGCCTGTGCGCACTTCATATATAATGACCTTTTGTCTGTGTATGCCTTAAACAAAAAAAAAAAAAAAAAAAAAAAATGTATTGAATAAATATTCGTTAGAAAATTAATTACGTGAAAATGTTTTTCAATAACCGTCCAGACATTATAAATTATTTATAAACGAGTTTCCAGGAAACTAACAACGCGAGACTTTAAATAAAATTTTTAGAAATCTATCAGAAAAATTTCATTTCTTATAGAAAAAGTATTTAACTATTGTTATTGTTATTGAAAAATGCGAATTATTTTTCAACGATAATTTTCATAGGGTTTTTTCACCTCACCCGACAATCCTCCAAATTAACTTAAGCAAGTCATAGTGTCGATTAATTTAGGATTTTAGTTTCCATGCTAGTTACCTTACTATATCATTTTATTGTCAACATTTTTGAATTGCTTATGGCCTAACGAATGGTCAAATTTTGGCATCTAAAAATTTCGAAGAAGTAAATTTGTGCAAGGTCGACCATTGCTTCCCTTAGTCTTTGAATTTTTCCTTTACTCGCATATTTCTTTAAATTTTGTTTGTGAACATCGTGAATATCTTGGGCGTTCTCATGACTGTCGACATATTGGACATTTGCTTGAATATCATTAACTTTCTTGATTGCGTTGTTTTTGCGGCCCATTACGAGTCAACTAATTAGAAACTGATCGTCGAAGCTTTTCTCTTCCGCGTTTTATTAAAACCATAGCGTATTTTTGATGAATTTTAATTGATAAAGTAAAATCTGAGTCATCACATTTTAAATTTTTCTTCACAGCTTTTTGTACATTCGAACTCGTCATCTTTTCTCTCGTCTTTTTTTCCGCGATTTTCAGCAGAAGTCAGAGCAGAGTGCGAAACGAAATATGTCTAAAGCAATGTAATATAGGGCAGAGAGAATTGCATTTTATGAAATTTACGATAACTATTTCTCGATGTTATCAAGCAAAGATCGGTTGGCTCGCTCGCTCTCTTTCGTATAATATTTATAATTCCTATTCCATAAGTAATTTCAACAGCGATCGTGACAAATGAATAGGTTAGAAATTACATCACCATATTTGTCTATTATGTATCAATAAATAAGGGCTAAAATTAATTATTGTTCGAAATTGTTTGGTTTTACAGAAGAAAAAAAATAAATAAATAACGAAAATTTCTAATTACCTACACACTATCAAATCAATAAGAGTTATAGCTATTTAACGATTAGATATTGATATTAATCCATTATTTCATTATGATGCCAATAAATTATCATTAACAACGTCCAGACCATTCATAAGCAATGATAGGAAGAATTGTTGTTTGTTGGCCTGAAAAAGGAACATATTTATATAGACATAAGAAAATTGTAACAAAACTAAACAAGAAAATATTTATTCGCCTTGCGACGAATCTTTTGTACCTAATGCATCGAACCAATCTGCATGAGTAAAGCATTTTCATAATTGCAAGCGATTTAATTAATCAATAGATAACCTTTATAGTCTTGAGCTCTTTTGGACTTGCTTTCATTTCTAAACATCAAAAATATCAATCCAGGTCTTTTCAACTTATTGTTAATGCCACGTGGTTCGCTTGAAATAAAACTAACCTATTCATGAGCACTCGGACAACATCTCATATGTTAAAAATCGAATTCAATAACTTTCTTTAAAATATCTAGAGGACTTGTTGTATTGCGGCGATATTTGACAATATTTTTTCAAATAAGAAATCATGTCGAAAAATGTTGATGAAGTGAAAAGCGTAGAGAGGGGGGATATGCATCGATCAAGAGTTCGCAAATTTTAAAATTTCTAGAATGCGTTCGCTGTCTGTGTCACGAACGAAAAGACTAATCTAGCATGCAGACATCCTTCGGCGATGGATATTTCCCTCAATAAATTGTCGCATTGCAGTTGCCATCATTGATGCCTACAATACTGTTTGGCTTTCGGGCACATTAAAGCGTGCCCTTATACTCTTCAGCGAGAAGAAAAAAAAAATGCCTACGTTTTGCCTTCATACCATGTCGCTTGCTTTTATATTTATTTACAAATGTTGTCTGTGCCTATATATATATATATATATATATATGTTTGTGTTTGATCAAAAGTCAATGCACTCCCCATGTGTAACATATGCCTGCATTTTGCTTGTTGTGCATTCATTGTTGTTTTTGTTGCGATTGTTATAATAAATGTTCTCATGTTGGCAGTACCATCCATTTATCTAACCAAGCACTTACATATGTGCCTATATATATTACTGTACATAAAAAAAAAAAAAAAAGATATGTATGTATACACAGTTGTTATTATTGTTGTTTTGGTCTGCAAATGAACATAATCATCACAAAGGGTTTTCACATTGTCCGAGGTCGTGTTATGGACGCGATTGCAGTTTGTATTCTTGTTTTTGCCGTTTTGTCTTTTTTTTTCTCTCTATGTGTGTGTTTGTGTGTGCATGTATGCGTATGTGTTTGTGGTGAACAAACCAAAAAAAGGTTTTGCTTTAGTCTGTGTATTTGTGTGTGTGTGTTTGTGTGTGTATGTTTGCGCACGTGCATGTATATATATATATATATATGTGTGTGTGTGTGTGTGTATGCGTGCGGTCGTTGATCTGGCTAATTGTATATGAGTATGTATTTATGTAATGCAATTTTATTGCATTCTGCTACTTCCATATATAGATACAGGTTTTGTTTGGTTTTTGTTTTTTTTTGCAATTTAATGAGATTTATTTTTAACTCCAAGAATTTAATGTATTTATTTATACGTATTATATTTTTCTTTTTTTTTTTTTTTATTAAGAGAGTAAAAGTTCATACGCTTTTATTCAATTTTCTTTTCATTTTTCATTTTTATAATTAAGTATGAGCTTTGATTTTTTTACTTTTTCTTTTACCTCTTGAAGGATTACTCTACGCTCTCGTACATATTTCACACTTCAATTCCTATTTCATAATTTCCTTAAGAGTAGGCAACACTTTTCATCATAATACATTACATTTCATAGTACGGCTTTTACTCGAGATTGGTTTGGTATTTTCAGATGATGGCGTTGTTTGCTTGTTCTGTTAAGGGAGTTTTTGTTTCATATTGTGATATTTATACTCTAAGCATATATATATATATATATATATATATATATGTGAAAAGCAAATTGCAGGATAGTTATTATTTGCTCAGCACAAAACAAATTATAAAAAACAAGGACGTTTGAGAGGCATGCTCTTCATTGTGAACAAATAAACTTTACTTATGTATTATTTCGCCTTCTCTTTGTGTCTCTATTGTCAGTGAATAAGTTTATTGCCCTCAAAAGAATTGTTTGATAGACAAAAAAAATAAAAACCGACAGAGCTTCAATGGGTATTCAGCAATAATTCAAAGCATTAAACACAAGTTTTGAAGTGAAAGCATCCTCTGCAGAATTTTGTTAATAAAAAGAAACAGACATTTCTTTTAATGTATTCCCTAACGAGCACACTTAAATTCATATATCCTTGAAAGGAGAGAGAGAGAGAGAGAGAGAGTAAACACGAATATCTTGTAATTTGGCATTTCTTAGAAAATTCGAAATCAAAAAATTGCGCTCATAAAAGGAACTAGTCGCACGTTCTTGAACTTTGCATGCATCCATGTATGTGTATGCGCATGAGATAAAGAGAGGAATGTATTCAATTTCAAGTTTCTCTTGTCGCCTTGCTTTCAACACTGCAGCAGGTCAATGCTTTTTTTTTTCACTTAAATGCCAGATAAAATGAAAAAAAAAAAAAAAGTGGAAGGTTTTTGTTTTCGTTTCATTTTTTTCCCCCTCGTGTTTTATTTATATGTCTGGGAATCTAAAGTAACCTTTAAAAAAGAAATCACAACTCCAGACAAAAGAAGTTATAAAAAAACTACACCTTTTCCTTTACAAAAAAAAAAAAAAAAAAAAAAAAAAAAAAAAAACCGAAATTCTATAACAATACTGTCTGGAGTTAAAACTTAAACAAGTTTAAAAAAAAAAAAAAATTTTCGTTGTTCCTTTAATTTCGTCTGGTTTTGGTCTGTTATAGTGTATCTTGAAATCTTGTGCGTTCAAAAGAGGTTATCGATCTTTAAAATCATTTTTTCAATATTTCCTTACAGTTCAAGGACCTTAGGATGTCGAGACGAATCTTTTGTGCAGTTGTGCGTCTTAAAATAAAGAATAATGTTATGGAAGGAAAGAAGAAATTAATTTTATTTATGTGTGGTTTTTGCTTTTGGTTTGTATGCTGGTTTACAGCACTAATTCCCAGACGCCATCATTAAAGAAAGGAGATTCTTCAACTTTTTTAGATTTAATTTATTTTGTTGTTTTTGTTATACACAGTATATTGAGGGCGACAATTAGGTTTGCTATCCAAGCATTTGTGGCACGTAGAAGTTACCGACTTTTAGATGGAAAATTTACATATAAGAATGTCTTCCAAACGTATGGGCGGGGAGGTGGTTTCGAAAATTTGGGGCCACCGTCCATCAAATAAGAATACCTTCGGCGATTTTTCTCATTGCTTGGCTTTGCTAAATGATGGTCAAAAGAGCTTACGTTACCGAATGACTATACATGACCTTTGTGAGGTGAATGAGTACGCATCTGTTGTGCGGTCCACTTCCTATAGGCGCCATGTACATTTAATAGAATCCGCTTAAAAGGAATTTGTACTCTTTACGCTTAATAAGTTGGGATGCAACCGATTTCTCCCGTTACCTTCTTATGGAAGTAGACTGCTTTCGCTGGCTTTACCATCTTGACAGAAACGTGGATCTACCCTCAGTATTTCTGTCTTAATTAAGCTAACATATGATAATGATACTACGATTCGCCAACATTACTTTGTGTGAGATAAATTGCAATGTTCCGAATCAGTTTCGCAAACCTTAATCAATTTAGATAATATTACGAGCTTTCCAGCCCTTTGAACACCAAAAAATGCTGGTTGAACACAAAAAATAATGAAAACGATCAGATAAGCAAATAGACAGAAGGACAGATGTGAAAATGCCCGCCTATCGATCTAAAAGCTGATCTTGAATCGATTGATGTAATAAGAGGTTGATATACTCCAAGTTCGCCCGGCCGGTAGGATACATCCGCACAAACGTAACATATCATTAGCATATGTTAGGCAAAGTAGAAGCGAACCATTTAACTCCTTATGGAAAACGTATTTCGAACACACTTTGAATTTTTCCGAAATTAAAGTGGATGTTATTCATTTATCACGTTTTTAGTTCCCAAGTCAATTATTACAATTATCTCAAAGTGTGGGACATACGTTCGAAGGTGAATTAAGTTTTCGATACCACTGTCTACTTTACCTTAATATTCGATTTGTAAATTCTATGAATATTTGATTAGTTGCTCCAAAATTTCAAACGCTTTGTTTACGTCTTTTCAACAAATTTGTAAACTTCATTAGCATTACAAAATGTTATAAAAACTTCTGAATTGAATTTTAAATTAAAATTCAATTATCAGTTCGGTGTTCGGTATTTACGAATACGGAATAGATGGGATGTGGGAAAAGGTTTGCTTTTCTGAGAAATGTTATCGATATTATTTACGTCAAACTAATGCCCTCTAACTCAATTTCCATAATATCTACTCATCAAAGCTAGCAAGTTTATTTTACTGTCTTAGGAAGAATAAGAATTTCGTAATGATCGCAACTACAAGTAAGTGACATAAATGAAGAGTAATAATTATTCTTGCGGACAATAGCGAAATATTTCTGCGGAAAAGATAGCGTTACAAACTTCGGCATCTGTCTACTGCTACACCTTCAGTATTTTTCAGTAAATGCAAAAATTTATTTAAGCGCGTATAATCCCATATGAAAATGAATCAAATACCGTTACGGTAGCATCGAAAGAAATTCATTTCGAGGCCTATAGTGGGCTGATTTTCTCCATTTTTGAACAGATGCTCTAGGATCACCTATAGAATATACACGAAACTTTTAATCACAAGATCTATGATACGACCTGGGTGATGAGCAAGAAGACCTAAGATGCTCTGAATTCATGCTGTACTAACGGCGTCTTCTCTGACTGATTTCACCAATTTTCAATATCAAACTACCTACAAGGTTTTTGACAAATTTGAAGACGAAATCTTAACCTTTGCCATCATCACTACATTTGCGACGCAAACTCATATAAACTAACATACCTGGATGTAGTATCTAATATATATAGTACGATTTGTAGAATCTTTGACAAAAGAATTATATATTCTTATATATCATTATTATTATATCATATTCTTTAATATTGGGTGGATTTGGCAGATGTCTTTCATTTTCCTACAGGTGTATACCTTGTTGCGGAAATCCCAAATCTAGTACATTCCAACTAATTAATTTTCCCAAAAAAATAAATTGGCTTCATGCAGTTGCCGTAAATAAAAGACTCTTATAGTAAAAACGTGCAAATATATTTCTCTTAAAAAGTACATCCACGATCTAGTGATACGAACCATATCCGAGAAAAGCAAATTTTGTAACGATATTATGGAATATAAATGAAATTTATGAGCATCGAGCAAAAGAAAAATTTTTTTTTAATCTTTTGGATGCCGAGCTGTTTTCACTTTACCTTGCGCTGTGAGCGTGTCTTTCGACCAATTGGCTCTTTATAAAAACTTATCTGTGGTGTAGAAGCTTCCAAAATTTCTGTTAATTTTTTAAGTGATAACTCCACCTTTGCAACCAGGAAAATGTTTAGCATAGAATTATCGATTCAGATTTTGATTCTAATGGAGTGTATATATATATATATATATATATATATAGAAGCTATAGGTTCTCTGAAACTTTCGGGAGTTGCAAACGTCTTGGCAAAATAAATATACCACCGTGTATCAGTGATTGGTAAAAAAAATTAAGAGATTTTAAATTAAGTCCCTGCGGGGAAGGGCTTCTGATCACTTTGCCATGGCAAGTTAAAAACTTGAAAACTACTGCAAGCATTAGAAAAATGCTCACTTCATTAAAGAGGTTTTTTTTAGCGTTTTTCTTACTTTTATAGAAAAGATTAAAGCAGAGGACTTTATTATGATAGTGGTCCCGTCCCGTTAGTATAAATTAACTTTCTGCTCGCTTTCCAGTTGAAAATTTAATTTTCAGAAGTAAAGTTATTTTAGTAGAATCCCTGATGAATTTTTTGTTAGCATCGCTTCGTCACGTGAAACGCAGACTTCACCTTTTTAAATAATCAACACAAGTTTATTTACGAACTTTCACAGATGAGCGACGAACGCATTGATTGCGTTACAAGCGGAGTGTATCTTTATTTTTATTAAAGGAATTTTTTTTTTTTTTTTGTTTTTATTAAAGAAAACAAAAAATCCATTCCGTAGTAGTTAGTTAGCTTTTTCAATCAACAAAAATTATAAAAATAAACATTTGCAGCCAATCAAAAAACAAATAAAAATTAAACTCAAGTACAATTAACAACTGCAACAACAAATTTCATAACCTTCTCAAATGTTGCATATGTATGTATGCAGTCAATTTCCTTTCTAAGTAAAAACCACAATTGAATATGAATTGTAAAGGTGTATATATATGTATTTATTTATAAGTACTTCAACAATAAACGTAAACGTTAAGTACGAATATGTTTAAAACAGAATTTGATATTTAATAGTCTCGATGGTTGTAATGGTGCGGTGCGGTGTGGTGTGGTGTAGTGTAGTGTGGTGTAGTGTAGTGTGGTGTGGTTTGGTGTCGTATCTTGTCTATGGGACCGACTCGCTTTACAGCTGATGTGTAAACATATGCAAACATCTATAAAAAATGTCAACAATATTTTATGAATGCATAAATTGTAGGGTTTATGAAGTTTTTCCTATTCAATTATTCATGCAATTAAGAAGAAAGTAAGAAAGTAATGTGCTGTTAATAAAAGCAAACTAACATAATTTTAGCATTTAATTGTTCATAAATAATAAATGTGTAATAGTATATATATATATATATATATTATACGCGTCAGTGCTAGAGCAAGCCCTTTGTATTCGTGTCAATTGTCGAAATTCGTAATTCCTGACAATTTGTTCTTAAATTTCAACGCCAACGACATTTTTTCGCAAAAAAAAAACCAAATATTTAATTAGTACGCAGTTGTGACCTTAAGTTCATTTTGAGCAGCACAATTGATTCAATGAATGGTTTAACATTCCTTAAATAAGAATTCTTCAAAAATTATATCATTTTTTTTTATAACTACTCCCGAACTTATTTATATTAAAAACATTTCCTGTTATTTTTACTTAGTAACTTATTCTTTGCTACTTCTTTAGTAAGGATGACAGACATTTTTAAATTAATTCAATTGTCGGTTTTACTACTTTTTTCAGAGCTATCTGTAGGTTCTACATTTCAGAGATGTTTTCATAATAACGCCCACTGAATTTCCTACAATAACAACTTGAATATTTTAATGACAATGTAGTAGCGTTGTTGCAGTGATCGAATTTCCGCGCGGTAGAGTTTACTTTGTTCATAGCTGTAGCAGTACAGTAGCTGTAGTCCTACTACTTTTGTAAGGTATTTCGCAAGATTTATCGTAAAGAGTGTTTAATGGAATCATCGTTATTTTGTCACATGCCGTTTTATGATAGTGCATATCCAAGCGCATCGTTGAAGAATGCAACACAGATAAAAAAACCATCGACAAAAGCATTGAGTACATAAATATCAAGTCAGGTCCATCCATTGTATTTTTATTTGATAAGTTCTTTGTTGTTGAGGATCACCGCACAAGTTTGAAAATCGATCTGATGCCCCTTTACAGAATGCAAACAACGATTGCTTAATAAAACGTATATTAAAAATTGTTCAAATATGAATATGAATGCTCAGTAAAGCCATCTAATACTGAAAAATGTAAGAAATATTGACCTTAAGTTTGGTATTTCTCCATAGGCAATTTCTGTTTTTATATCATAGAACATCTGCGTCATGCAGAGTGTATTAAGTTAGCGAGGATCCAAGTATAAAGCCCAGAAGGAATTAAGGCACGTACATGTTATATGATCGATTCGGAATCATTTTCTGAATTAACTTAACCCTATCGAATGCTCGTCGGTCTGAAAACGTCTGCCCACGTATGCTTGTGCTCGGTCTATAATTTTTAGGCTTTTATGAAATTTGGCACGTTGCTATACTCTCTGGCCCAAAGATGAAACCTTATAAAAATGTATTGGATCGGGCCACTCGGGATATAACATCCCATTTTGGAAAAGTCGACGCGCTAAAATACTTTCGTAATAATATCTTAGCTAAATTTGTGTATATCCAAAATTTGAGTCAACTGCGCCAAATTTCTGAACCGGTCCTATGAAAAGTGACATCTTCATGGTAAGAATGTCTAATTTTTGATATTTTTTGACGAAAATTGTTCTCTGATTGTAATTTGATATAAAAAGGAATTAAGGCTAACAGAGCTTCGAAACACAATTTGAGGAAAGTTACAACTTAAATTTGAAAATAAAAACCAAATTGTGTAGATCGTGTCTTTTACTTCAGAAATTGCTTCGCACAATTTCCATTTAAAAAAGATTTCATGTGATTGACCGCTTCTGATCATGGAATGCTAGTTTTTTCCACTTTTCGACATAAATCCGCTTTTACTTCATTAATAATACGGATAATCTTGGGGAATAGGGTTACAGATTGATCTATTGGGGTAAGCGAACGTAATAAATTTTAACAATTTCTATACTCTATATACCTATGTATATAGGTATTGCATTTCACCAATAATGGCGATAATGGAGAATAATTTGATCCAAATCCCAAACAAAAACGTGTTTTGTTTACCTTTACTTACGGAAACACAATATGAATGAACCCACATATAAGATGTAAATCATAAACGGAGATAATATTGACAAAATATTTATTGTTTTTTTTTTTTTTAAATTTATTCTTGTTGGCAAGTTTTATAAAACAATTACCACCTGATGTTTTTTGTTAATTTGTATTTTTTTTTACCCTCTTTTGTTGACGAAAATTTAATTTAGAGAAAATTTTTCATTTCATATACCCAGTGTAACTCTCTTGAATAACGAAGTTTCTCTTTTAAATGACTCTCATTTAATAAATGCATGAAAGTGTCCAGAGAAGAGAATCATTTTGCATTGCAAACACCCAAAGACAAAGTACAGACATTAGAGTTGCCAATAGTTCTAAAAAAGAGAAAAGATTTTTGAAATTTGCTATAAATGAAGTAGAAATGCTTAAAAAATATTTATAGCAGTTTTTCTCAATTTTATTTGTATTCGTATTTTATGTGCTCTTAAAAATTATTTAGTGCTGCTCAACCACTTTTTTTTTCTAAAGGCTTAAATTATTTATTATTATTATTATTATTATTATTATTATTTTTCATAAGACCTCCTTCAAAAACAAGCGCTCTCAAGAAAGTAAATATTGACAGCGAATAAATCGCTATATTAGCGATGAACATTCAATTCGCAATTCATTAAAACTCTAAGAGAATGTATAGCAGCAGCGGCAACAATAAAACAACTACACATATTCACATTCACCGTTAAAAGTGATTTGAAAGAGCATCGAAACCAAATCGCTCGGATATATATAAGTTGTATATATAAATACAAGTTCTTTGAAGGCAACAGCTTTTATATGTTTTGTACAGCTGTACATTAAACGCGTTGAATTATTTAATATTAGTCGACATCAAATGATGAAACTGTGCTCATCTTGCAGAAGCTCTACTCTGCTTAATATAGTAATTGATCAACGCCTTAGAATTGACACCTGTCGATATCTAATTGAAATATTGTCGCGGCGTTTGACGGGCGAATAAACCTTGAAAGCCCCCTTTAAAAAATAAAACTTGGAAAGAAGGGAAAAAGTCAAATTCATCGAAAATAAATTATTTAAAAAAAATAAAAAAATACCCAACAAAGTTGGAACTTTGCAAGGGAACGATATTGTAAACGACGAATTGTTTTCGAAAGCAATTCCGTTTTTGTGTTGACAACAAAGCAATTTTGTGAAAATACAAGTGAAAAAAGCAAAAAAAAAAAAAGCAGAAAATTTTTTTATTTTTTTTATTTCATTTTTCTAAAATAAAAGATAAAGAAAAAGATAAAAATAGAATATATATCTCTCTGGAATATCATTAAAAAAAATCTTATCTGATTATCAAAATTTTTACGTGCGCGTTGATTTTTTTTGTATCTACATTTAAAAGGCCTTTTTGAGTTTTGCATGATTTGATATATAATTTTGCATATTTTTCAATTATTTGAACAAAAGGTAATTAAATGATAAGTTGTATAAGTGATTTTTTTTTTTTTTTTCATGGAATTTTTTCTTACACCAATATAATCATTTTTTTATTCCTTTCCGATCGGAGGAAAAAAAAATTTTCATATGCACTTTTTTTGATTTTTCGAATGCTTAGGGTAAAGGTAAAAATTTTCTCATTCGCTTTTCGGTTGACTGCAGACGCTAACTTTGAAGAACTGCTAGTGGTTGATCGAACCTGCAAAGTATAACAAATAAATGCAAAGGAAATTTTCAAAAATTCGCAATCGACAAATATCCAACTTATATAGCAGACACTGATCCGTAACTATGGAAATTGCGCGTGCAGAGTGCACTTCACAGAAATAGAAAGGTTATTCCAATTTTAAGTATCCAAAATGCTTTACAATACTGTGTTTTTGAAGATGTTAAGTACACTAGATTGAGAAAATTGAAAGGTGGCAAGAGATGTATGATGGATATGATAAGATTCAGATAGGAGTAATCGTACGCACAAGTAGGAAATTTGTCATTTAGGTTTACAAGCAGACAGTATATGCAAAACAATTTCTGAGATAATTTTTCAAACCAACAGTAAAAACGTCAATGAAAAGACGACTCTTGAGCCGCCAACTGCCATTGTAAACTATATTCCTTTGGGGGACTTCTCTGAGATGCATTGAGATGTGTTCGTCGATCTTAGGCAAACATAAGAATTTTTCAATTGTCAATAAATTGTTTTTATATACAATACATTAATAATTCTGGAAGATCTTTGAAACAAGCATAGTTTAACACGTCCGCGGACGGTAATGCTATGTGCCATTCATTTTGATGGTGATGCAACATGGCATTAATGCTATAGCTTTAACTTTACATAACACCCTGGGATTTTATAATTATTGTGCTTGCTGAAGTATTACTTAACTGCTTGTCTAGATTTTTCCATATTATTGCATTTTGCTCTGTGTATTTATGCCATTAATTCATTAATATCTCTACACTAGAAACTCCACGCTTTCTTGAAAAATTTCATCTATATTGTCGTGAATGTCATACTATATCGTTTAAAATATGATCCTCTAATTATCTTCAGAAAATTTATTCAATTATATTACGGTTATCACAATTAATTTGAAAATAAATTGAAATTTTTACTTGCCTCGATTGCCTTCAAGTATATTAAAGCATACACTTAACTGTCAAAAGCAACTCGGATTATTTGTAGTTAATGAAGATCACAAAACTTAATGCTTGCAATCAAACGTCGGCCATAACATTGCCGAGGCGGCTTTTTGGAAAGTGTAAAAAAAAAAAAAAGTATTATTTTTCGTTATGGCTTAAATAAATACTTACTAATAATTGCTTATAGATAGGCCTATTAATAAGGTATTGCCCGTCCCTTGATAAGAAGAAGAACATAAGGGCACCGTAGAATGACTCTATCTAGTTTTCCATTCATTTGGTGGTTTTCTAACCACGTTCTCTATTTTTTGTATAGAACCCTAATAAATCAAAAATATTTAGGAAATTAATTAAAAATTTCCATTAAATCTAAAACTACTGTGTCTTTACAACTCTGTAGCTAAAAAGTAGCGGCATATAAAGAAAGAAGAGAATACGATACGAGAAACTCAGTGCAATGAGCACTTAGGAGGAGCCGAGCCGAGAGTAAATTAAGTTGTTGTCGTCGAGTGTATGTGCGAATACATAAAATTTCTTTACGCAACATAAGTGAAAGTTGTTTTGGCATCAGTGTATAAGTTTCGTTAGGCGTTTTCTTTTCATGATAGATTGTTAGTCTTTTTCGATTGTTTCTATTTTTTTTTTTTTTTTTTTTTTAACTTTGCCGTCTAGAGGAGGAAGTATGTTAATTATTTCTATTTAAAAATGAAACTTTTTTTTTTCGTTGTTTTCACATGGTCATTTATATAAAATGAATATATGACGTCATTGGGGATTTTGGTGGTCAAGCGGTTGCAACAATCAACAAAAATCAAACGTTTTTATCAACCATGACATAGTTAATGATTAATTTAAATATTTTTAATTTATTTCAATTAAAAATTTAATAACAATCAAAGACGATAATTGCAATTGCTTAAGTCTTTGATTTAGGTTTTTTCGAAGTTTTTTAACATATATATTATATATATGCTGCATGAAGACCGGTTATCTTCCTCTTAATCATAAATTGACATTTTTAGAAGAATTACAGATAAGAGTTTTTTTTTTTTTTTTTATTAAATTATTGTTTATTGAAATTTAAAAAAGAAAAAAAAGAACAAAAAAATATTTTTAATAAACATATGTGTATTCTATTAGAATATTTCTAATATTTTGGGAAAACATTCTTATCTCCTTTCCTCTCTTACTCTCTTTCACTTGCTCTCTTCTATTTTCTCTTCTTCTTGCACACGTTACTCTATTAAAAATCTAGACATTTTATAAATTCGTTTCTCTTAATAAGAAGTAAAAGATAGATAAGTTTTTTAATATATATTTTTTCTAAAGAAATGAATTTCAAGTTCAAGTGTGTGACCTTTGTTTCAAATGAAAAATATACATATATGTTAGAAAAACAACAGCAAAAAAAAAAAAAGGAAAAAAAACAGTTATATTCACTTTGAAGTATATTTTTAGTATCTTAAGGTGGATGGGACGTATATCTTCCACGCCTTTCTAATGGAAATTTTGAGGCCAAGCTAATTCAGAAGATCGATAAAGTACTCAAGTGTAAAACTCGGTACTTAATTTAGTTGTCTGCCCGTTGCAAAGCAGTTCCCGGTCTACATGCAATCCGTCTTCTCCTACTTTTTTCTGCTTGAGCATTACCTCGCATTTATATACGTATATGGGACATCCCCTGATAAAGAAAAAACAATGAAGTGGTAACGTGATGCTGATAATACATTAATTTCAAAAGATACGCAAATATTATTGTGCAGTTTCGGCATATTTGCATCTAAAGTGATCAGCAGCAGATCTGACTACGATAGTTTGTGATGCATGCATAACATGTGAAAATTGTTTACCGATATACTGCGAGATGTACATAAATAAATTTATCTAATTCGTCTCAAACAAATAAATGCGACTTTCTCTTCGGCTTAATATACTAATTGCTTTCTTCGTCTTTTAAAAGCTTACATTAAGAAGTGAAAACGCGTTTTACTCCACAAATTCCTGAGTATAAATAATTAGTGGCATTGCAGAAAAATATCTATTCTACTCCAGTTGTGTTAGACTTACAATCGAACCGAACATTTTTTTTTTTTTTTTGCTGTACAATCGAAGCCGATAACAATCACCAAATGTCATTGATTTTCGTAAAGATATTAGCGCTGTAGCTCTTCCTGGTGCGGTGTAGTCCTCTTCTATTAAGTTTAATTTATTAGTTAAAGGGAAGTAAGAAAGTCGTCATATGATCGCTTAATGTTCCATTTGTTTGGGGTTTCATTATTTTGTGTACATCCTTGTCGTTAATGTTTAGTTACAGCCTTCTTATGTGACTTACCAGTGGAGCCTGGGATGCGTCTTTGATGCGTTTGGTCTTAAAAATGCTACACCTTTAACTTGAAAGTATAACGACAATCCGATTATCGAAGAGTGTCGCTATACTAAATTTATAATTTCACATACACGCTTGATTGGCTTTTGTGTCTGTTTAGCCTTGCTTGCTTATCTGTCGATTCGTCATCTATTTTTAGATCGCTTACGATACCAAAAATTGATTTATTCATAATTTATGGGTGCAAATAATATCTGAAGATCGTCGCATAGTCAGCCTATAATAAGCCAACACTTGCCATTTACAATCCCTAGTAGGTTTTAACCGAAAATTTATCAGCATTATTTACATGTTCAGCGTGAAACTAAGCATGATCGTAATTAATGAAATATGACTTGCGATCGATAGAAAGTATTGATCTAAATAAATATGTACAGATTCGCCTGAAAAAAAAATGCCCAAAAGCATATATATATATATATTTTGAAAAATATTGAATATCCAATAAAATCATATAATTTATGACTTTTCTAGTACCTAATGATGGGTAACAAAAAATTCGATTCAAACCGCAATATAATTTCTCTTTCCCTCCTATATATATTTTTATTATTGCACTTTCTTGTTACATGTTTTGTATTTATATTATATTTTGTTATTTAGTTTTGACGATAAATAAACAAATTGCGTTTATAATGAATGTTTTCTTACCGGAATTAATTAATTTAATTTTCAGCTAAGCGTAAAAAACTGCAAATCAAAAATCGCCTAAAATTGCATTCTCATCGTATTTATTATATTGACATTGTATTTATCTTGTAAAATATATATAAATGTAAAAAAAAAAAGAAACAAAAAAAAACTTGTCTCTATCAAAAGTTTAATAGCGGGAGAGAAATTTTCAAAAAGACTGATTTTTACATGTTTTTCCTCAAAAATATCAAAACGAAAAAAAAAAAAAACGAAAACAAAGATACGAAAATGTAACATTTAATGCGAAAAACATTATTAATAGATTCATTAAAATTTTCTCTTAATCATCTTAACTACTTTTTATGTACGTACGTTTAAAGCATTGCTTGTTTTAAAAAGTTGGAAAAACGACAAAAAAAAAAAAAAGAAAAACAATTCTCATTATTGTTAGCTTAACAAGAACGTAATAAACAAATTTACTGTTAATGCATATGTTGAAGGTAAGCTTGAAGTGCGTGTAGCAAATTACCGCTTAAATAATGAAAATTAATGAAAATTGATATTATTTAAATATGCATATTATATAAAAGCAGAGTCGGCTACGGCTCACACTTAACTCTCCTACATCCCTTTACTTCATGCAAGTTTCTTTTCAAAAGCATTTCGAAAATAGGACACTGTATGGGTGGTGGTAGGTAAACTGGTTCGATTTTCAATAGCGTTCGTCCTTGGGCGGAAGCATAATCAAAAGGTCTTAAAAATTGCGGCCTTTGCGTTGAACACAAGAATGCAAAACGGACAGACGGACAGACAAGCATATATGCTTCCAGAAAGTGGTTCTGAATAAAAGGCGAATTTATCTCAAGTCCTTCTAGATGTTGCGCACATCAGCATAAACTTATACTCTTGTTCTACAAGCGGTTATACCGGATAACAATATGCAATGAATTGAAATTTAATATCGTTTTTAAATTCTAATAATAATTTTAAAACCGCAGTTATTCCAAAACAAAAAACTTGAGGCTATTAATAATAAATGAAGCAAGCGGAAGCGGAAATTTTTCAAGTAATGCCCTCATAATAATGTCTATAGTTTTCATTCATTCTTGATATAAAGATTTCTTTTGATCGGCGTACACATTCACAAAGAGAGTGCTTTCTGCGTATGAGGGGCATATTTTTTTGCTACGCGGCCATATGCAATCTATTGTTATAAAATAACATTTTCCGTATATACCAATGTGTGTGTGTTCAATCAATATATTACAACCGGAAGGAATAGCAAAATAATTAACATGAAAAGCAAATAAATACAGTGCGTAAACACAAATGAAACATAGGAACAGCCGTATTCCGCCATTGTGACCACTCACTATTAGTTGTAAGAGACAACAATAATGTGTTCTTCTCATAGCTTTTGTGGTATTGCGGAGCGAAAATCATAATTAAACTCTGCAATAATATTAATGAAAACCATTAAACCAAATTAAAATAGTGCTTGTGACTGGTAACCGTTCTCCGTGATACTGCCCAGAGCACGTTTATACCGCTGTCTATGAAGTCCTAACGAAACTATGACCCGACCATCAACCATCACAAATGCGGCGCTTGTTTTTCCAGTGCTAGCAAACGCCACATGTACAAATGCAATGATCGCATCAAATACTTATATGTGTATCTAGTGAGCCGGGGTTAACAATTTCCGAGACTAAGAAAGAAAAACTTTTTCTTTTGATTTTTGGCAAAATTTTGTTTTGTTCCTCAATATAGTCTCGTGTTCAAGGCAGACCTAGGAAAATAAGCTTCGTCGTGACCAAATATTCATACAAAATAGTATACACACTCACTTCTGATATCTTTAGGTTGTCAGCTATCTCTTGTTGTAACTTCACCTTCGGATACTTTGCCGTTCAGCATTATTATTAGTGCTCGTATGACATCGCTTAAGATCATTACGGGCAAATCTTTGTTTCCGATGGGGTAGAGGCATTGTAATAATCCTTTTTAAACCAACGCTGAGGTTGAACTCCTCTTACGTTTTTCTAACCAAATGCAATGCAAGAAATTCAGGTATCTACAGCTATGCCGCACACTCATAAACTCATAAATGAATAATTGAAACGTGATGATATTTTGTTCGACGCCTTTGGTGGAATTCCCGCTTTCTAAAAATAATTTGATTTCTTTGTTACAGACGACATCTGCGTACTAGTTCGAAGAACTACTACTGAACGCTGTGTCTTGTAATAAGAAAACAATGAAAAAAAAAGATAAGGAGCCGCATGTGCAGCCTATTTTTAAAAAAGTATCACGTAGATCCTTACACATAATTCAAGGAAATTTTTGTTCAAAAATCTTATTGACGCCTCTTTGACACAAAGGTGTTACGTTGAAAAATATAGAAAATTTTTGTCCCATAAATTCCTGTTCATTAAGTACATCATTTAGTTTGGTGCATAAAGACGCATAAAAATTTTTTATGCGCCTTCCAAGTACACCAAGTGAAACTTTTCAAAATTTTTTACATTTGCTTTACAGAAACCGTAGGATTTTTTACGTCTTTTGTGTTAAACTTTTCAATTTTTGAGAAATTATTGCATAAATAAAAATTTTTATGATTTTAATTTTGTTGTCTGCAATCGCACTCTCATTGCAGCTGCTTAGACCTGTTCCTACATCTATGGAGTTTCATCTAGACAGTGCAGAATACTGCCAGGCACAGCACAAATAAAAAGTAAGTGTTTAAAAAAATTAAAAAAATATTACTTTTAATTATCCGGAACCTTGATCTACATTGTGTCGTCTAAAAAAAAAAAAAAAAAATGAGTACAACTTTCATAATGTGTAACACGATATACGATATATAACTGCTGCGACCAGCGAAGGAGGAACATTAATTTAATAATAAACACGAGACGAAAATGCCATAAATTACATAAAATACGTTTATTACGATCTCTGCAAGATTGTAAATCTTCGGTGTGGATGCTTGTCATGCATCTCTTGTTGAAAGCTGGCCAAGCGACAAAACTGTGGTCAAAAAGTGAGTTTGGAAATATGCAAATCCGTATATTCCCAAAATGAGGTTCCGAATAGTCAGTTGTGTCCGTCCGTCGAGCAATTTACTTGAGGGTGGGTTGTTCATGACACAAATTAAAGAAGACCTTGTGCTATTGTCAGTTCAAAGAGAAGCGAAAAATTGTATTAAATTTTCTTCAATACCGATCAGCCGCGCGATACATAACAAAAAAATCGCATATCTCTTAAATCATAGTTTTCTGTACCAGAACTTTCTTGCCACACTAACAGGCGGGACGGTAAACAGGATCAAATCATGCTTACGTTGTTTTTTTTTTTACCCGCAACCCATCTCTGTGATTCGTAAATATATTTTGATACGTAGTATTGAAAAATAGGGAGCAAAAGTAGGTGTGTGTGCAACGAAAATTCACAAGAATTTTAATGAAATGTCCTTCCTATCTCTTTCATAAGAGCAGCTACAGCTGCTTGACCAGTTTCTATGTAGGAAATTGATTCCGACATTCTATGAATTGTATGTACACATATATGTATATAATAATGATAATTGAAGCTTTCAAACGCTATCAAGGCAAAAAGTTAGATATTCTTTTTTGATTAACTTAATTGGTCATAAAGACAACGAATGATGAAAGTGCGGATTTGATGATCATACCCACGTATTTTTTGTTAATATATAAATTTTCACATTTTCCGTTGTGTGACATAGAATGCACAACAACAAAAAACTCTTATTTGTTTTATAAACAATATAGGAAAGTGAATACTTTGTTCACTAACAAACTTGTGTTCGCACAAATATAAACTGTATTTTTCTTGGCATCCAACCAAAAATGTTATTTAAATCGAAAGTGAACGAACAGATAAAAAAAAATTTATTAGAAATATTTAACAATGCTTGAACGATAAGGAGGCAGAAAGAACATAAACTGTGGACATAAAAATGACATTATACGAAAATCAAAAGAAAGAAGAAAAGTTGCATTTACCATGTGGTGCGAGTTTTGCATTGCAGCAGAGGAATATAAAGAAAATTTGCAACGTATGAGGACATGTCAACTGGGCCGCCAAATCCAAACAATTTTCGAAAAGGCATACGGAAAGTTACTCCCACAATTGGTGGGAAATTTTAGATCACTTGCAGGTTAGACTGTCCCACACTTTCACATAAGAACGAGTTGTTTCGTACGTACGTTATCTCTCTTTTTAAAACCGTTTATTGTTTACGTTCTTATTGGGCTTGAAAAATTTGATTATCATGACGCGATAGCTAGCATTGTTAACTGATATTTCCTGCCCATCTGATGACGATACCTCAGTCTTAGGCCCAAAATCCTCATCTAGTTGTGGACGCATACGTTTCTTAAGAATCACTGATAAGTTTGTCATATAACCAAGCCATGCCATCATCAAGAAGAAAATGAACTTCAGCCACTGAGTTGAATACAATTTTGTTCCAATTATAGCTGCTAAGGCTCCGGTATTTTTAAAATATTGCTCAGTAATTTAAATTTTTTTTCGCATAGCCCTTCGTTTTCAATAACTCTGAACATTCAACCGTGCAGAATTCATGAATTCTTTCATGAATTTTAAGGCGCCCCGTACAGTCGATTACAAGTCGTGGGTGTCTAGAAAGCGAAATCGCCTTCATTTGAAGTCTTCATTCATTTTTAATAAGATTACGGTCTTTATCACATTATTTGCGTCCGAAAATCTGGAAACAATATGGGGAAACGAGAAGTGTTAATGCTAGACCTTAACGAACCCTACACGCTTTTCAAAACAGCCAGTTCTAGATGCGATTCGTATCTCATCAAGCATGGACCGCAAAAAAGGAAATGAAAAACTTTTTTACTGGGAGCACTGTTCTGATACCCACTGCTACTGGAAGGTTTTTTCTTAATTGCGATAAAATTAAAGGTCTATGCGAGAGGTCATACGTCTAGTCAGAGCTTCTAGATCTCTCTAAAAACTTGAAGTTTAGCGTGGACCGCAAGTAAATTAGTTAATCAGAAAAAATGAACATGCATTGAAAACCATGGTTTGTTTTTTGGAACATACGGGAGGGTGCGTTCAATGAAAATCATTGAATACCCGTCATCAATAACGGGTTTGTCCCCTTCAAAGTAATCCCTCTTTGATGTAACATGCTTGTGCCAGCGCTCTTTACAATCTTCGAAGCACTTTTGGTACGCGCTTGTTAGTATGACCTTGAGCTATTTCAGCGATGCGCCTTTTATCTCTTTAATCGTGGCAGAACTCCGTCTTTTCGCGGATCTTTCTAGTTTTGTGAATAAGAAAAAGTCGCAAAGTCGGAAAGTCCGGCGAATACAGTTCATAAGGCATGAATACAGTGTTGTTTTTAGCCAAAAAAGTGCGGACAAATAATGACGTGTGAACTAATGCATTGTCGTGCTTCTGCAATATCCATGACGTTTCTTATGCAAAATAACCAAAAAAAAAAATTGCATGGCGAACAGCGCGTAATTCGGCAAGTCATCTTTTGTTTCGAACGCATCTCGTGTTCAAATTTTAGCTTGTTTTTTGGTATGGGAGCGATTTTCCATTTGCTGCCTTCTATCACATCTGATAACGCTACGTTTATTCACATGTATAGATACTACAAAGCCTACCAAAACCCTTTCTTCTTAATTTTACCAATCATCTTTCAAATATAATGGACAGACAAGTGGCACTTGTGTAATTTAATCAAAATTTTAACTAAGCCCCAAAATGTAAAACATCCCATGGTATCTTTGCAGTGTGCTTCTGAACATTGCAATTGAATTATGAGTTTACTCCTAAATAGCGATAATATGTATTGTAGTTGTTGTTGTATATCGGGTGATAACAATCAATTTGCATGTTCTCACCTATCCACTCAAGTTATAATTAACGTAAGCTAACGTGACATGACAACTGAAGGCAATGTGGGATCAAATTAAACCAAAGAATTTTGAAAAATTTCCAATTTCGTCGTATTAATGTGTTGAAATGTCAAATTCATTGCATTCTATATGTTGTTATTGTTGAGTGCTTCCGCTTGCATCGACTATGGAAAAAACGAAGGGGTGAAAAAAAGTTGCAAAAATAGAAGCAAAAGAAAATATACCGAAAAATCTCTTAATAGCTTTTTTAATACCTTTACAGGCAAGCGGCACACTTATGTAAGCGCAGATGTGATGAGATGTGTCTGCTGCTGTCTTGTAAATCGGAAAATGTGACAAGCAATCGTTTAATACATTTCTGTCTATTTTTAAATGATTTTTGCCAAAATGTCAATAGATTTCAGTTTGTTTTTCTTTCTTCGTTTTGTCTCGTGATAGATTTTATCACAGCGGTCGGTTAAGGTCACATTTATTATTCAAAACAACGCCATTTTCTATCATATCACGAACGAATTTTAGAATTTCAAATTCTTCTTCCTTTCACAAATGCATTGACCATCTGGTAGTCTACTAACTTTTTGATAGCGCAAGTGACCGCTTGCTATAGAGTAAGTATTAAAAGACTGTATGTTAACTATGCTTACTAGTAAGTATTGCGATTAAGGAACAACATAATAAGCGAGTATGAGTTGAATGAATAAAATCAATAGAAGAAATTTGATTTCCTGATGATGGCTTCATATTTTTAACTTTATATAAATATGTAATATATTTTTTTTTACATCCCCTCTATTATACCTGGCTTGCTTAGTTTGTCTGTCCGTCTGTCTTTTCTCTATTTTTCAGCCTATAGATCGCAGTTTTGGAGATACATTGTGCAAATTTGGTACACGAACGTGTGTTGGCCCAAGGACGAACGCTACTGAAAGGGGTTCAGACCACTTTTTCGATCACCACTCATACGACCCCTTATTTTGAAAAGTCTTTATATGTAGTATTGCGCAAAACGAAGCGGTATAGGGTACGTGATGTGGCCGACTAATATATTTTTACTTGTTTTTATATTCTGAAGTTTATTCCTCAACAAAAGTATCGCTGTCTATCCAACTGGATTATTGGAATTATTAAAACCAACAATCGTCTCCTTATGCTATACGCTTTATTTATTGAAACATCAATTAAGTAGTTCAGTATATTGGCAGATTTTGACCTAGATATTCGTTTCCGTTTAACAGTATCTTCCAACTGCAACAATCTCTCTTTCTTTCTTTATAAATTCATTATGTTCGTTAAGCAATCTTCGTTATATCGTTATATTTCGTTATGCATTTCCGCATGGATGACCAATAAATTCCGTCTTCTCTCTCGCTCAAAGCAATATTTTTAAATATTGCAATTTAGTTAGATTTTTCTCTATTAAACAAAAACACTTTTCTGAAAAATATTTTGCTGAGAAATAATCGCTAGTATTCTAGTGCAGATTTCAAAATCAAAAAAATGTTTCTTTTTTTATATCCATCACCGACGCATGAGAGGCATGTCCACTTTGTTAAAACGTTTGCAATGCCGCGAAGGAAGCATCATAGATCCCACAAAGTATATATATATTCTTGATTAGCCTGAAATATGTGTCTGCCGGTCTGTACAATGTCTGTTGTACACATTCTCCTGGCCACAACAAAGAAGCTATCGACTTCAAATTAACATCAACGAAACAGTCAAAGTACTTGCAAGGCCAAATCGGCTGAAGGGCACGCCCATAGCACTGAGAACACATGTTTTCCAAAAGAAATAAAAAATTCATTTTTTGTTCATTACTCATAAACGATAGCAAAAATTTGAATGCATATCCTATGGGCCCCCGCTATAGTACTTGTATAAAAATGAAAAATTTGACTAAGCCTACCCAATATTATAGTGTCCCAAAATAAACTTTAAAAACTCCACTGTTCGTTAGTCCATCTGTGTGGCTGCGCAACTGCATAGCATGCATGGTAAACATTTTCCCACTAGTGAGAATAAAGATGTCGCCTACAAATTTGCAAAACAATTTGCAAGTTCCTTAAACTTTTCTAAGGTCGCGCCTACAACTTCTTTTATTTGTTTAGTCTTTTTTAGGACGATGGTGATGGGTGTAAAAGATTCGGTCACGAATGAATATAATTTTCTTAATTGTGTTTTTGTAAAATAATTCAAGCAATCCGAAAATGTATATTAATTAAAAAGGGATATTAAAACCCACCCACCCATTATACCGTAATAGAGAAGAATTTTATGATATTTTGCAGCCTTCTACTCGGTTTTGTTGCAAAGTAACTAGCGTATATGGTCCCTGATTGATTTATTCGACCTTTTGTAGATTTTCTATAATTGCCACATCCTCGTTCTATCTTGCCGTTCTTTTTTTTTAATGTCGTCCTTCAAACACGCTTATAATGCTACGCAATATTTACTATTGATCCTTTACTTTTTTCTGAAGTGTTTGTTTTTGATCGAAAGAGAACAAACTCGGCATCTCATTTCGAAACGCACCTTTTTCATGAATGTTCATGCAAAATGACGGATGGGCTGGCTGCCTTTTGATGTTTTTGTGGCATCAGCATTTTTTTTGGAGTTTATAGAACAGTTGTCAAATTTGGGTGGCCTGTTAAAATTAGCGGATCACCCACCAACTAATCTTTTGGACAGACAAAAGCCGTCATAAGATTCTTCAAGCCACCGCTGATTGTAAACGTATTTTTCTCATCAAAAACAAAGCTTCTTAGTGAACAAATGGATCTCGGAGCTTCGCGTTGTTTCAAAAATAACAAAAGTAGCGTTACTAAAATGATTGGAACCTGTCGTGTCGTTTGAAGATTGGTATTATCCAAAAATCGTGGGTGCCTGTCAACAATGTTGCACTATACGTTTCAAACCGGAGACTTATTGAGTGGTGTACGGTTATGTTTGATCTCCGCAGTTCATTTCGGAGCGGATTAAAATCGCCGTAAGAAAATTTGGAAAACCAGATTTTCTCTTACGCCGTTTTTATCATGATGCTATCCTATTCAAAAATAATCTATAAATATAATAGATCTAAGTATAATAGATATATTCATAAGGTATGAGATAGTCTCTCAGTAACGTGAAGGACAAAAATATCTGCAAAGGACGCGCTGCAATCTCTACAAGTACGGTTCCATTAGGAAAAATGTTTAAATAGCCCTCTTTACTTATAGGGCTTTCTTTTTTGGTTATTATGGGCAAATTCTTCTTAGCGCGATCCGAACTGGCAAGAAAGTTGAAGAAAAAGTTGAGCATTAAAAATAAACCGGGGCAGGGTTTATTGTTCTCTATAATAATTTAAATATGTTAGTCGGCAGCGAATTTTACAATTGCAAGATTTTTCATTCGAAAGTAAAACAAAATTAAAAATACTACAGTAAAGCATGACTAACCATATACCATCCCAAAGTTATATATTCACATAACGACTTCTCAGAATTACGCGTTATATGGCAAAAGTGATTTAATGCAATGCATTTTTAATAGCATTCGTCGTTCTTGGTTCAAAATTCACCAAAATATCTCAAAAATGAATTGCGACTTGTGTAGGTTGGATACGAAAAAAGACGGCAAAGAGACACGTGTAAATCGAAAGTTCAGAAAGTAATTCTGAATCGATCGGTATAATAAGAGGTGGGTCTGTCTTAAATCATTGTTTATGTTGCGTACATCCGCACAAATTAAACTTGTACCATAAGTGTTATCAAATTGAATCTCTTATTGGCAACTGTAAATCCATCTATTCGTAGCAGCGAAGCCACAATCTACAGATGTCGAATTCCCTCGGTATTGATAACCACAAACAGTGCTTACTTACTCGCCATAATAGGAGGATGTAAGTAATAAGCAAACGTTTACAGTATCCATAGTGCGACGTGGACCAATTGTGGCTAAAATTGTTTCACTTTTTGTATCCAAAAATGATGAATAAAGTGCTAGCGGACGCGCATGTTAAGTAAATGTTTCCGGGCCATTAAGGGTTAAATTTTAAAATAATATAATAACAGTTGTTATCATAAATTTCTGGTGTTTAATTTTATCCATATTTATGAAATTACTTCCTGCATCAAGCAAAGGAATCGCTTCAATCGTGTATATATTTTTTTTGTACCGTATTTGATATTAAAAAAAGAAATTATAATAATGTATTCACACAAACCTGCCATAATATGGATTTAAAAAAAAAAAAAAAAATTGTTTTCTTCTTTTTCAGGGGGAAAAAGTTTGCTTCCGAATAAAGAGTGGTGGGAGAAAGTCAAAAAGTTTGTGGAAGAGAACGAAAGTGAGACGTCGAAATTGCAAGTTTAAATCATTACAATAACAACGTTAAGAAGAAGAACATCGACAATTAGACGTTGTCTCTGAAGGTTAAGTTAACTATAAAAAGTACGAAAACGGTGGGCAAGAATTTGAGTGAGAAGAAAGTGAAAGAAAAAGGCGAAGACGAATGAAGTATTTACTTAGAGAGAAGAAAGAAAGAAGAAGGCGAGAAACAGAGGCAAAAAGTTCAAAAGCATATCACAACATAAGCATCTAAGCAAAGGAATATATTTGGAAATTTGGCAATAACAATAACAACAACAACAACAACAAATTCAACGAAATTATTTCACCAACCAATTAAGCAGAACAAAGAAAAAACTTCTTGTTTGCTTTGAAGACGAACAGGGATTTTATATGAGGACTTGAAAAGCAATTTAAAAGCAGGTTAAAAAAAAAAAAAAAAAAAAAAAAAAAAAAACAATTTGTCTCTTTTTTTTTCTTTCGAATGAGACGAAAATAGAAGATAGAGGGAGAGCGAGAGTGAGAGCGGGAGTAGAAGAGGGAAGAGAGCAAGAGAAACTTAGTAATAGAAAATTTGAAAAAACAAAAATATTTTTTGATAATTTTTTTAACTTTATTCTTTTGTGATAAAATTTTAAACTAACGCAAGTTAAAAAGAAAAAAAAAAAGATTATAACATTTAAAAGAAACTCTATGCTAAAAAGATAATATTTAGAAGCAAAAACTAGTACTTACTGCTGCTTAACTGCTGTGTGTTTATTCAACAAAAACAACAACAACAACAACAACCTAATACTTAAAATACTTTTTCTTTTATTTCTCTTTTGTTCTTTTCTTAATTTTTTTTTCTTCTTTTGGAAATTCTATGAAGCTGAATTTTTTTAGTAATTAGTTTAAAAAGAAACTTTTTAAGAAAAATCTTCCGTTAGTTTAGTGTAATAAACAGAGAAGCAAAGAAAATAAAAACAAGAATTAGCTCACATTTTTTGCTTTTAAGAGAATTTTGTATTTTTTTTGGAGTATTTTTGTCAAAACACGAAACCAAATTTACTTAATAAGTCTAAAGCTACATAACCTCAAACAAAACGGTTTATATATATATACATACTTTTTTTAAACAAAAATAAGAAAAAAAAAAAAAAAAGCAAGAAAGAAAAAAAAAAAAAAGAGAAAACATAAAGACAACTTAAACGCTACAAACCTCTTTAAACTGCAATAATTTCTAAAATATTTTACACAACAACAAAAACACAACTACAACAATTTATTGAAAATAAACTTTATAAGAGTAAACAACAACAAACACAACAAACAACGTTTGTAAATGAACAACATGCGTCAAAAGGATTTACGCCCCGCACCAGCTCTTATTGAGTTTAAGGGAATGAAGTTCCTAATCACTGATCGCCCGTCAGATGTTACTATACATCATTATATAACAGTATGTATCAAATAATATAATTATTTATAAAATTTTATGAATTATTATTAATTCGAAAAATTTGATTTTTTTTTTTTTTGTTTCTTTTGTATTTTCTTGATTATCATATAAAGGAATTAAAAAAGAATAATGTAAACACTGTGGTACGCGTTTGCGAACCCAGTTACAATACTGAAGAATTAGAGGCACAAGGCATCACGGTTAAAGATTTGGCATTCGAAGACGGCACCTTCCCGCCCCAGAATGTTGTGGATGAATGGTTTGAAATATTAAAGCAAAAGTAAGTAAATTTTCTTTAAATTAACTATGTCTGCGAAATTTGTTATATTTTTTTTAATTTTCTCTTGTTTTTTATAACGTTGATAATGTCATGAATAATAATAATACCTTTTAACACGTTGACGCTCATTTTAAAAATAATGAGTGTTTCCAAAAACACACTACTTTTTTTTTTTTTTTTTTTTTTTTTTTTTTTTTTTTTTTTTTTTTTTGTTTAATAATACCAAAAATATACGACTACTATAGACGTCGTGTGCATCTACGAACACGCAGTAGACGTCTATAAATGTCATTTACGTCAACGGGTTAAAGACTTATCTTCAAGTGGGAATTTTTTGTTTTTGTTGTCTCTATTAAAATACACCTACACACACACCCACATACACCAATAAACACCCACGCACTTATCCCATACACACACATTAATATATATATATATATTAATATACACAAATGCACACAGACACAACCATCCAGCCACACAAACACACGTACACACACACTGTTACACTTTTATATACGCATACTCCTTTAAGAACTTTAATAAACATTTGTTGTTGAATTTGTTTGTTTGCAAAAGTTTATGTAATCTTTTTAACGCATATATATATAAAAAAAAAGAAGAAATGAAGCTCCTTAGGCTGGCTGCCACTCTAACGCTACACTGCACTTATTAAAAGGTTTTTTTGTTAAAAAAACGTTTCTTCGATGCACTCCTTTTTGCTTAGCAATTTTCAATCCGTATTCAAAATATTATTTTGCTAACAAATGCTTGGAAACAAAAAATGGAATGCTGTGAAGTTTAATATATTTCTTTTTTCTATTTTCTTTGAAATTCTTTTAACAAATGTTATAAAAAGAAAGCTTTGTCCGTTCTTTTATTGAATCGTTCATTTATTTATTTATTTTTTGTTATTTCTTTTTATATAGTTTTAGTAGAAACTACTCCTCATCCTCTTCATCAGTACCTTCCTTTGCGATAGCTAAACGTTTTTCATTTAGACAAAAATCTTTTAAACGAGCAGATAGCACATGTACCAACCATTACACTAGTCTTGAAAATGATAATAATGCTACAACAACATCTACTATAATTACAACTACTGCTACAACTACTACTACTCCCACTTCTACTACTACTACTACTACTACTACTCCAACCACCAACCACCACCTCCACACCATCAAACCTAATAAATCTTTAAATAATATAACAACAACAACAACAACAACAATAACAACAAGTGAAAATACAGATGATAAGACCACTTGTGGGTAAGGTTTTTTTATAATATTAAAAAAAAGAAAAATTAACGAAGCGAATCTAATTTCATTTTAAGTAATTAAAAAATTGTAATTAATATAATAATTCATTAAGTGTACGAACGACTTAACGGGGAATGTTTTCTCATTTTTAATTAGTTGACACGTATCCGGGGTATTTTAAATTGTGGTCGTATTAAAGTTAGCCTTGCAAGCCTTGTAAAGCATTTAATGTCAAAGACTTTTAACGCATTTTATCAAAGGTATTTTTAAATTTAACAAGTAAGAACATTATTTTCGATCATAGTCGAATCTCTTATACTCATCCTAAAAAAGACTAAAAAACTACATTTTCTTACTCTATAAGATTGGGTGGGTGCGGTTGATTTTTTTCTATTTTTATTGGATAAATTTGTAGAAATTTCTGTCGCGTATCTGTTGCGGTTTATGAGCAACGAGCAAAGGACACGGAAAGCAGTTTTGATTATACAGATGTGTGGGCGTTGTAGGCGTGTTCTTTGATCGGTTTGGATCATTTTCAATTTCTTTTGCAAATTTGTAGGCGATATCTTTGCTTTTACCATAATTACTGGACAGCTAGGCAAAGAGACAGATGTACAAACGAACATGTTTAAGTACATTCCCAATTTGCAGCTGGTCAAAAATTTGTACAGGTAGGCGTGGTCACAGGTACAGGTACTGCAGCATCGACCGTAGAATATACTTATGTAAGCAATGAACAAAAAACAGTTTGGTTATTCCTTCTAAAAAACAGAGAGATTCTCACTTACGTAGTACTGTTGGAGTGTTCTTTGATCGATTTGGCCTATTTTCAACATCAACCTGCTTGCAAGAATTTCCAACGTTTTTACCAAATTTGACGTCGATATCTTCATTTTTGCGGAGAGAATGTGTACAAGAGACGGTACACGGACGGACAGATGGACATGCTTTAATTCGATTTAGAATTTGATGCTTATCAAGAATAGATATACTTTGAGAAGAGATATACTTTGTGGTGTCTTCGAAGCTATTTTCTAGGCGTTGCAAACTGTTTGGCGAAATGAACATACTTCCCATACTTCGATGATGAGTATAAAAACATCAAAGTTCATGTCAAAAAACCTGTTACAAGCCATACAAATAGTTTATTTTCTTGTAAATGAAAATGTTATTACAAGCAAGCATATACGACACACATGCAAGGCTTCAAAAATGAACATAGCGATCAATCAAAAATATGTGAAGATTAACATTTCGAAGTACAATGAAATATTTTTTTTTTGTTTTTTTTTTTTTTTTTGGCAACGCCAAAAACCAGTTTTGAAAACTCGACTGCATTTATAAAACGATTACAGGTGATTCATATACAAATAAGATGAAATATATTAAAATGAAAAAGGTGCACCATATGCAGAAAATGTGCGGTTGCTTTACGTTACACTTCCAGTTCTTGTTCCCGTTGTGTTAGCAAATGCGAATGTAATTTAGAGAAAAGGAAAAAGATTTTCCTTAAAAGATTTTCTACTGCCCAAATATTACACGTCACAGTCGTAGGACACACACACACACACAAGCTTGCATATGTATACGATCTAAGCATTTATATCTCTCTCTGATGTGTTTTCCTCTATGTTAGAAACCATTAGCCAGCCTATCTTAGTATTTATTCCATTATGGGTAGCAAAAAAAGTATCGCAGTAAAATGGTCAGGCTATAAAATACGATATTTTTATTCTCGGGTATACATTCAGATACCGCAATATACTCTCTGTCGTGAAAGTTGTGCACTTGTGTTACATATTTATTGCAAGCTCACATAACATGAACGAAAAATTCTTTCGTTTTATTTATTTGCTACATTTGGGTTTTCTTCCGTTTCTTCCGTGTTAACATTTTTAGAATAAACGCGTAATCGAACATCTTAGTAATATTGTTAATATTGCGCCGAGTCATAAGTAACTTCTGACGCAGCTAGGTAGAATCTATTGTTCGTATTTACCCACTATATAGGTAAGCATTCAGTTAGTCTAGTTTTGCCGATGAAAGTGTACCACTTACCTTCTACTAGTCTGCGGCTAACATCTCTACTATTTTTCATGAATTCACTTACCTCTGACTGTCACCACATCACTACGTAGAAAACCGTTAAGTGGCTGGTCATATAGTAGATATATTTACTCATTTTTTGATGTTTGGGCATAAATATGAACAATTTAGATGAAAGTTGCATTGGTCAACTTTCTCAGGAAGATAATTTTAAGACAATGTACATATATTCATATTTATAAGCATATATTGATAGATCCCTAAATCAGTGAGTTTGAATCTAGTATTAAGAAATACTTGAGTAGTTGGAATAGATTAAATTTCCTTAAGAAATATTTATGTAAGATATTTAAAAATTTTGGAATGATAATAAAAATGAATTCTTATTTTCAGGTATCAACAAAATCCCGAAGCTTGCGTTGCTGTACATTGTGTTGCTGGTCTTGGCCGTGCTCCGGTATTGGTAGCGTTGGCTCTTATTGAATTGGGTCTTAAGTATGAGGCAGCCGTAGAAATGATAAGAGAGTAAGCTATTTATACAGTAATGAAAGAAATCTCTGGAAGCATTAAGCATTAATGTTTCTCTTTCATTTTTTAAGCAAACGACGAGGCGCTATTAATGCCAAGCAGCTATCATATTTGGAACGTTACAAGCCCAAGGCAAGGTTAAAGCACAAAAACGGCCATAAAAATTCATGTTGCGTGCAATAGATTTCCAAAAAAAAAAAAAAGTTAATAAATAAATAAAAAAAAAAAACCATTTAAATTCCCACCAGTTGACAAGTGTTCATTTTCTTTTTAATTTAAAACAAAAGCAAAGCAGACAGCAACATCAACAACAGAAATGTTAAAATAGAAAAACAAACGGAATTTATGTACAACTTTTTTTGTTTATTTTTTTCCTGTTTTTGTTACACAAAAAAGAAAAGTCAATCGGAACGATTGGTATCGCTTAAATTTAATTTGTTAAAGATTGGAATAATACATATATACACACACACATATATATATATATATATAATTTTTTTTTTATTAGATTCCATTGCAACATTTTGATAAGGAGATGCTAATTAATTAATAATAATTATGATGATAACACAATGAACATGCATTCTTCTTCTTTAGTAGAAAAATTTTCTTTTTTTTTTTTCTTTTTTTTTTCTGAATTTTTCGTAACATTATAGATTAGCTGTATGTGTACATCTATGTGTTTTTCATAGTAAGTGCTTAGTTTGCAAAATAGTTAATTAACCAAACATTTATTAGAGAAGGAAGAAAATAAAAAATTGTAGTAAATTTTATGCTTTTTTTTTTTTTCTATGTATAAATTAATTTTTGTAAAATTTATTAATATAAAAAAATGCTTAAATCTATTCATCAAACATTTTTAAGGCTTTCGTTAAATTTCTTTTAGTTAAAATTTAGTTAGCTTTTTGCTTCTTCTGCTTATTAAAAATGTGCTCTTTCTTACCTATTTTAAGTTTAAAAATTTACAAATTCACACTACGACAAAATTAAGTAACAAGAACGTTGAAAAATAAAAATGAGCCAAACTATATATGTATATATATATATATTTGCTTGCACGTATCGCAGAATGCGATATGAATATTTTCATTTCATTTTGTAGAATGCAGAAATTTGGGTAAAAGCCTTCGTGTTATTTTTAATCGTAAGCGCAAGTTTTTCTCCTAACATACTTTCCTCAGATTGTTTACCAGCCGTTGAAATTCTGGCTACATTTTCTAACGCAAATGCAATTCAAGTTTTTTTTGTAATGAAATAAAGGTTTTGTTTCAATTTGTCATCGTTGCACATACATCCATCTATACAGAAATGAAAATTGCTAAAAATAGTCTGAGCTTAGGTGTAAAGTTTGGAATTGTCGTGATGCGTTAGCTAATTGCATCACACTGCGTAGTTCCATTTCTATAATTTGTCACCAGGTCTTATATGTCAAGTCTGCAAATTAGGATAATTGATCTCCGTTGCTTAAACCGTTAACTGTGTATGACGCATAAGTACGTTATGAAAAAAAGTACAAAATTTTGTGTTATGGCGGATCCGTCCATCCGTCTTTATTGAATTGCCTCATCAAATTTTGTGAATGTGTGTTTGCCATAATATGCTTTAGAATGTGTGTATGTTATTACAAATCCTGTGTATGACGAGTATACTCGTCGACACTACATTTTTGCGAGGCAATTTAAATACACATTTTCCAAAGAGGTCGCCACAGTTAATTGGTTAATATGTCTTCGTCGAGAATTTAAAGTTCCTATCGGCGGAAAATGAATCCCAATAGACTAACTGATGCTCACGTAAGCAGTAAAAGGCTTTTTAACTTTTGTTCTTCTTTAAGGTGGTAAATGAATCGAAATTTGCCTTAAGGTTTATTTTTTCTTCAATTTTTTTTTTTTTTTTGTAAATATCTCTCCGACTTAAATTTATAATGCTTATATTTTATTGCGCTACCAAATCACCCTTTTAAGAATCTTTCTGTTGTTTCTATTTTTTTTTTTCACTTTGGCTTTAAATTGTAAATTGCACATTGAAAATATATATCATATTTATGCTGTTAGGCTTTTTCGGCTAAAAGGTTTTTTTTTTTTTTACATTATTTCTTCTTTACTTAAAGTTCTGTTCAAATAAAAGTAATTAGCAATATATGATAAAAAAAATTATTAATAAATATTATTTAGAATTAGTTTATTGTCGAAAATTGCAAGAGAACATCATCTTAATATATGTAAGAAAACACTTATAGCACATAATTATAAAGAGATCATAGATCTCTAAATCCAAAAAAAATTAAAAAGAATGTATAATCGTTTAGAGAAGAAAAAAAAAAATGGAAATAAAAAATTCAAAGTAAATATAAAATTTGTAGCGAAAACCGATCACAAAATCTCTATTAAAATTTTAGATTACTTTTATTGCTTTTCTTTTCTTAAAAATAAAATATTATTAAAATTTTTTAATCTTTTAAAAATGTATAAGTATTTGTAAAATATGCAGGAAATTTTTATTTGTGATTATGAACGAATTTCTCAAAGGCCTGAGAAAAAGCTGCAATTATCGAGTTTATAAAAAGTTATCTTTTACTCATATTTTTATTGATTTGAAAACAAATCTCTTTTAAAATTAATGCAAAAACACACTTCCATAGCGTTGTTACGCTTTCTGCTTTATTTGTGTCAAGTTACAACTTCGATCAATTTATGCATATCTTTGATAAGATAGAGACCACAAGACAAAAACAAAGCATCCGACATTGATAAAAATGACGTTTTGACCTGAGTTAGCCATACAAGCATGATATGCGTTTGGAAAGTCACGAATCGGCAAGCAGCTGAAAACAAAATGGATGTAACAATTTAGCTTACAGTTTCTCTGGTCTAGACTTTATATTGGTTGAACTTGTCGCAAAAATTATGATCTGTCTGTCCAACATAATTAAAAGTCTAGAACAAGATTAAAAAAACAAAATCGATTTGCTATATAATGAATTGAATTGTTACTGGTCTGCAAAAGGGCGTGAATATTTCTCGCCCCGAAAAGAAAACTTGTACATTTCTTCGCCCTTTAATTGATCCTTGAGAAAATAAATATTGAACGGGGCCGATATGAAAGAATTAACCTCGAAAAATAAAAGGATTAAAATTCCTTCGCAGTTACTAAAAGCAAATCCAAACTCTTGGCGCGCTGATCTCGAGATCATCTGTATCGATATCCAAAGCTTGGCGCAAGGCATCTGTAATCATCTTTTGGGTTAGACGTAATAGTGCTGTTCTTTGCATATACATAGCGACCTGGTGCTAATTTCGTAGCATCCGAAATAGTTATTCAGTCTCCAAAGACTTTACCAAATTTATTTCTTCTCCAATATTTTCAAAAATCGCTTAGGTTTGTATGATGTTTAAACCGTAATGCCGATTAATCACAAAGTATTTATTATCAAGGAAAAAAATTATTTTTTCTTAATCTCCTCCAGGCAATTCATACATATAGGTCTATGTTAAAGGATTTCGCTTAAATCAACGTTAAGTTAAAAAGTTATCCTCTAATGGTCGAGTACCATGGAGAACACCGCTTTAACACCTTCAAAAGTCCAACTTCAGACATATTAACCTTTCAGGTTCAAAAAGAAAAAGGTATTTTCGCCGACTTGGGCCGACTATACACCACGTCAAACAGATACATAACAGTTCGAAAGTATTTTTCTGTCAGCTAAATGATCCGCTTTAGATAGAGCCTTGCTATATTTCTTGTCAGTCTCTTAGTTCATTGTTGACCGGAGATTTGTATTTGGAATTTTTAAGTCATTATAGACGTCTTCTTGTCTGGCAGTGCTATTTTGCACCCCGAACACTTGGATAGTCTTGCTAATTAGGTATAATTTAGAAGTTAATATTTTCTTTCTGTCCATTGGGGAAGCAGATCATGCAAATTTCCAAGATGAATATGTGGCTGACAATTGGTGATATATGCCGATTCTTCTCCCTTTTTTTGGCCAGGAACGAAAGACGGATATTGTTAAATTGATTCAGAATCTAGAGAATATTTACTTTAAAGGCTTTCTGATAAAAGTAAAGAGAAATCTACACAAGACAAGACCACTATAATAACATCCGCCTTCTCTGTCGGTGGGTATAAAAGCCTATGACATATTCATATCGTCTTCTTTTCGATGGAAGTGTATGAACTATTTTCTATATTGTTTTCTTGCTTGTTTACAATTGCAAATATATCCCCTTCTACTACGGATATAGAGCCTGACTTGAAATGTAGAAATAAATCGGTAATCGATAATTGAAGTTTTTTAAATTTTGCAAGTTTTCATAAATTTTGTTAATTATTGTTATATTTATATATGCTTATCAAGTGTATTTTGTTTTATTTTTTCAAATTAATAATCTCATAAAATTAATTCTTTCGCACTGTTGTTGAGTCATATAACAACCAATGACCATGTCTTTTGAAAAAGATATACATATATATATTTTTTTTTATTAAAACCAATTTTTTCTCTCAAAATATTTGTCAATTCTCGTCACTCCCTTTCCATTTAAAGTCCACCATCCTTCAACAAAACATCCTACTTGCCTTTTAAAAATCCAGCAAAGTAAATGTAAGCAACAATATATAATAAATATGATAAATGGACGAATGGCTGAAGGAAACATTTCGTCATCTTGTCAAGCAATCATAAAATTTATAAAAATAAAATCAAGAATTCATTTAATAAAAAGATGTAATAAATACGATAATTAACGAAAAGAACATTATTTGCATATAAAACATAATTTAAATTACATGGCAACAAGAAGGTCGTACATTAAACGTTAATAAGCTAACACAAATAAATTTAAATAAGAAAAAAAAAAAAAAAAGAAGCAAACCTTTAAGTTGATGTATATGTAAAAGTCCAAGAAATTGTAAAATGCATTATAATGCTTAAATTATATATATAATACATAAAAAATTATACATAATTATTGTAATTTTTTAAGCATAGTAACTTAAAAACAATAAATTAAAAAAAAAAAAAAAAAAAATATGTATACATAAATATATATTTAAAAAAAAAAAAATTAAAAAAACTAAAAAAAAAATATATAAAAGTTATAAAAAAATGTATAAATTATGTCTTTTATTTTTGGGCAGAAAATTCAATTATGGGTAGACAGGATCCAGTACCAGTTATGGGTTAATAGATTCACAAAATATTTGTAATGAATTGGTGCGCGTAACGTGGGCTACAAAAACTATATAATC